AGGTCCTTTCGGGTCCTTAAAGACCTACGCCGCTTCGAGCGAAGTTCCGGATAATGTCCGACGAAGGCGTGGATAGCGCCCCAAATTTGGTCTTCCGAATACTAGGGGCTTCGCCGAAATTTAAAATTATATAATTCTATGGCTAAGTGAGAGTGTTCAAGCACTATAAGTCCGGTTGCCTTGTTCGTTGTGTTGAGCGCCTCCCTAGATGGACCCAAAAATGGGAACAAGAGGGCTCAAGTTTATCCCGAACACCCCAGCACTCGTGGCATGGGGGCTGAAGCCGACGACTTGCCATCTCTCAGATTTAATAAACGGCCGCACAGAAGGTAATATTTTAAATTAACAAGCGTTGCTTAGCGCATATGAACAAAGTTTTCAGCGCACAGGATAACACATTGCGAATTTACTCAATAATTACATCCCTGGGGCACTCATCCGCAATTTTGCGGGCACCCTTCAGGACAGTCTTATAGTACATCTCAGGCGTACGATATTTCTTGCCCGCTGGTGGCGCGTCAGTGATTAGCTTCTCCGCATCCAGCTTGCCCCAATGCACCTTTGCGCGGGCAAGGGCCCGATGAGCACCTTCAATACAGGCGGGGCGCTTGATAACCTCCACCCAGGGGCACGCATCCACCAACCGTCGCACGAGACCGAAGTAGCTCCCAGGCATGGCCTCTCCAGGCCACAGCCGGACTATGAGGCCCTTCATGGCCTGCTCGGCCACCTTGTGGAGCTCGACCAGCTGCTTCAGGTGGTCGCTAGGGGGCACCGGATGGCCGGCCTCAGCATACTGAGACCAGAAGACCTTCTCCGTTGAGCTTCCCTCCTCGGCTCGGTAGAATGCGGCGGCATCAGACACGCTGCGAGGCAGATCTGCAAACGCCCCTGGAGAGCTCCGAATTCGGGTAAGTAACACGTAATTTACATTCACATGCTTGCTTTGCATGAAAAATGCCTTACCCGCCGCTATCTTCCTCACCAACTCAATCTCCCGAAGGGACTTATGGGCATCGGCCTTGGCAGTCTTGGCACTTTCGAGAGCCGAGGCAAGCTCGGACTCTCGAGTCTTTGAGTCACGCTCCAAACTCTCATGCTTTTCCATGAGAGCCTGGAGCTCTTGCTGAACCACCGCCACCCACGCCTCCTGCTTTTCTCGCTCTGCCCGTTCCGCGGCCGCATTGCATTCGGCCGCAGACATGGCCTCCTTCAGGGTCGCCACCTCGTTCGTGGCCCCTGCAGTACCCATGTTATCCTTGTTATTTTTTGTTGCAATCTAAATCCTTTTCTGTAAGGTACAAGTTCAAAGTGGTGTTACTCACCTTCTTTGTCCTGGAGCTGCTTCTTGGCGCGGCCGAGCTCTTGCTCGGACCGCTCGAGCTCTTGCTTCAAAGCACCGACCTCCGCAGTCAGTGCGGCAGAGGTCAGCAGCGCAGCCTGCAACCCATATTGACATAATTTTTTAGCAACCCTGCGTATATCTTCTTTTTTTTCAGATCCTCAGTCCGGCTTTTCTTTCCGAACACCGAACCGAGCATCAGGGGCTACTGTCTATGCAGTATTACATTGCATATTTTTTAACTTCTTACCTCAAAGCCTGATAGAAGGCTACTTTTTAACTTCTTGGCAAGCTGTACCTTCTGAATCACCGCACTCATAATAGTGCGGTGTTCTTCCTCGATGGAAGCGCTCTGCAGCGCCTCCAACAAATTGTCCGGCGCCTCTGGTTGGACGGAAGCCGCCGGCGTCACGGTCTTACCCTTCGTGCGAAGGGGCCGCCGGCCGGACTCCGGAACCACTGTGGGTTCTGATATGGAGTCCGGCGCAAAGTTCGGGAGGACGCCTTGTGGCGCCTCCGGAGCCTCCCCCTGATGGGCTCCTTCTTGGGATCCCACCTTGGCGTCCTCGGTGTCGCGAGGGGTGGAGGCGGTCGGGATGGAATCTACATCCGACGGAGCCAACGACCCGCTCGATGAAGCGGGGAGATCATCATTGGCCGGACTACAGGCAGCATGCGGCATCAGAATGACACTATGTGACACAGAAAAAGAAATTATATATCACTCAGGAATCCGGATACTTATGATCTCGCTGGAGGCCTGGCCCTTGAAGGCTATTCTTCCTCGCCAACATTGATGTTGGCGGAGCTGTCCGGGGGAATAGTCCTTCCCCTCTTGGACCCTTCGGCCTCCCCTCTTGGGGAAGCCTTCCTCTTCTTCTCTCCCTCCTCTGGGAGAGAGTCCTCTTTCTCCTCCTCGTTTTCGGGGGAGGAGTCCGCCCCGGAGTCGTCGGACACCTGAAAACGGGAACTCTTTCGAGCACCCGTGGCCTCCTTCTTGGCCTTCTTCTCCGGCACCACGTGCGGTGCCGGAACCAGCAGCCTCGCTAGATGGGCGTCTACTGGGTTTTCTGGCATGGGAGCCGGGCAGATAATCTGCTCCACCTTCCTCATCCAGTCCTGTCAAAGGAAAAGGGGAAATTAAAACCTGCATAGAGTCAAACTATGAAAAGCAAGTGTCCCGTAAAGGGGTAGAATCACTTACCTCGTCGGCTTGGCGCTGCGAGCGAAATCCGCGATCTTCGGTCGCGGATGCGGGGGCTTCGACGCCCTTAAACAGCACCCTCCAGGCGCCTTCATACGTCGTGTCGAAGAGCCTGCTCAGCGCCTGGTGCTGTTCCGGATTGAACTCCCACAGATTGAATGCCCGCTCTTGGCATGGGAGAATCCGGCGGACGAGCATGACTTGGACCACGTTAACCAGCCTGAGCTTCTTCACCAGCTTCTGGATACAGGCTTGGAGTCCCGTCAGCTCCTCCGAACTACCCCACAGCAAGCCCTTCTCTTTCCAGGAGGTGAGCTACGTGGGGATACCAGATCTGAACTCGGGGGCCGCCGCCCACTTAGGGTCGCGCGGCTCGGTGATATAGAACCACCCCGATTGCCACCCCTTGACGGATTCCATGAAGGCCCCTTCGAACCAAAGGACATTGGGCATCTTGCCCAACATGGCGCCTCCGCACTCCGCTTGAGTGCCCTTCACTACCTTCGGCTTGACATTGAAGGTCTTGAGCCACAAGCCGAAGTGGGGCTGGATGCAGAGGAAGGCCTCGCACACGACGATAAACGCCGAGATGTTGAGGATGAAGTTCGGCGCCAGATCATGGAAATTCAGGCCGTAGTAGAACATGAGCCTCCGGACAAAGGGGTGAAGTGGAAAACCCAGTCCGCGGAGGAAATGGGGAAGAAAAACGACCCTCTCATGGGGCCTGGGGGTTGGGATGAGCTGCCCCTCGTCGGGCAGCCGGTGCGCGATGTCGCCGGACAGGTAGCCGGCGCTGCGCAGTCTTTCGATGTGCTCCTCCGTAACGGAGGAGGTCATCCACTTGCCTCCCGCTCCGGACATAACTGGGGAAGGTTGAGACGAGATGTGCGGGCTTGGGCGCTGGAGCTCGAGTGCGCGGAGATGGATAAGCAAAGGAGGAAGAAGGCGTAGGTGAAAAGGTGAATCCTTATCCCTTATATGGGCGGGCGAAGTCTACGCGTCCCCCACCGGCCTGGTAAAACTCGCTTATCCCCCAAGCGTCACCATCAATGGCGCGGTTGGGTTACCCACGTCCATATTGATGAGAATCCCGTATCGACAAGACGTGCCAAGGAAACCGCTTCGCTAAATGCGTTGAGGTGGTAGAGTAAAAAACGATTCAAGTAATGGCTTGGTAGTGGTGTGACATCATGCCGCAAAAAACGTCAGCAGATTGAACTTGTGTATATATTATTCTCTCTACGGTGGAATGTGGAATTTATTTTGCAGAGCCGAACACTATCCTGGTGTTCACAATCTTCTATCATTCGGAGGAGGAACCCGCCTTGCAATGCCAAGCAATATACGCGTCGGACTTATCGTCATTGAAGCCTGGTTCAGGGGCTACTGAGGGAGTCCTGGATTAGGGGGTGTCCGGATAGCCGGACTACCATCATCAGCCGAACTATCATCGACCGGACTATCATCATCGACCGGACTCCAAGACTATGAAGATACAAGATTGAAGACTTCGTCCCGTGTCCGGATGGGACTTTCCTTGGCGTAGAAGGCAAGCTTGGCGATACGGATACGTAGATCTCCTACCATTGTAACCGACTCTATGTAACCCTAGCCCTCTCCGGTGTCTATATAAACCGGATGGCTCTAGTCCGTAGGACACAACAACAACCATTACAATCATACCATAGGCTAGCTTCTAGGGTTTAGCCTCCTTGATCTCGTGGTAGATCCACTCTTGTAAACATCCACAATATCAATATCAATCAAGCAGGACGTAGGGTTTTACCTCCATCAAGAGGGCCCGAACCTGGGTAAAACATCGTGTCCCTTGTCTCCTGTTACCATCCGCCTAGACGCACAGTTCGGGACCCCCTACCCGAGATCCGCCCGTTTTGACACCGACAGTGGGGCTATGGGAGGGGGCCTGCGCGGACTGATTCTGACGTCGAGGGCTCTTTGGCGGCGCGGCTGGAGGTCGAGAGGGGCAATTCGGTCTCCCAATTTTTGCTAAGAGTTGCCCTTCTTAGAGCAAAAACAAGCTACATGGTGCCTTTTTGGGATAAAAAACTATAATTTTAAGGGACGAAGTGTCTGAGGGATATGTTAGCTATGGGTTAATCCCCCAAACCAGATATTTTCTCCCTAAATATGGCTTTTGGGGCATCACTGGCCCTAAAGACATCTTCTCAAATGCCCGTGGTCCATGGACACGTCCAAAGCTCCCCCATCCCATAACTCAAATAGGTCAAACTCACAAATTTGACAAACATGAGGACAAAAATGTATAAGAAATAAGTTGGGACACCAAATGTAACCATGCAACAATTTAAGGATCTAAAAACATTTTGTTTCGTCTTCTAATAAGTTTGACAAACAAAACTGCATAAGAAACATGTTGAGCACCAAACACAATGACAAGTCTTCCTGCTTCTTGCCAAGTAAAGTACGCCCTCATTATGTAAAGTTGCAACTTCCAAAACCTGCCATGGTAAAACAGAGTATGTGGCCGTGTAATTAGAGACAAGATCGATCCAGCTGAAATATTTCTTCACGTAGAAGAAGCATATGAGTAGGAAGAAGCCTTACTTGGGTCAACAGTGGTAACGACGCCGGTGCGACCGAAATCGCAGTCGAACGCATGCTGCCCGTTGCTCCGAAAATAGAGGTTCATGGCGTACGCCGCGTGGGCCTGCACAGTGTCCGGCTCGTAGCAGCGGCCGCCCGGCCGTATCGGACCACAGTCCATGCCCCCTCCGCACACGAAGTCGATGTTCTCCTGCAGCACCGCCGCGTCCGCTGCTGGCGTCGGCACGCACCACTGCCGCCCGCCCGAGTCCGCCGCTCCCGCGTCTGGCGCCGGCGCCGGCGCCGCCGGTGTTACCTTGGCGCTCACCGGCCCAACGGACTGCACGCCCGCAATGTGGCTAGTTAACATCACTGTGAAAAAGAGCGGCGTGTAGAACCGATGCTGGCACGAATTAAATACCTCCGGAGCGGTGAGGATGCCGGCGTCGTAGATCGGCGTCATGTCGGCGTGGAACAGGCCGAAGTGATGCTCGGACATCGGGCCGGGCTTCAGGTTCTCGTCGAAGAGGGAGAAGATGGAGACCTCGAAGGTGCGGTTCGGCATGAGCGGGGTGCCCACGCCGGACCCGAGGTGGCGGATGGCGTTCCTGTTGTAGTCCCCGGCGTGGTCCGCGCCCGCGCCGACCTCCCAGTCCTCCCCGGCCCACGGCCACCCGGTCTCGGCCACGACGACGTCGACGTCGCCGAAGCCGAGCCGCTTCATCGCCGAGTGCACGGCGTCGAGCTGCGCGTCCAGCGCGTTGGTATACACCAGCCCGGTGCCTGCGTCCGTGACGCCCTCGGCGCTCACCCGGAACAGCGCGAAGTCGAGCTCGGCGTCGCTGGTGAGGCCGTAGAACGGGTACGCGTTCACCATGAACGGCGCGCCCGTCGCGCGCAGGAAGCTGAGGAGCGGCTTGACGACGGCGGCGTCGTACCCCTCGCGGAACCGCGCGGCGGACGGCGGCGTGGACACGGCCAGGACGCCGAGGGAGTGCGCGGAGGAGACCTTGATCCGCCGGTGCAGCGACGTGGCGAGCAGCGCCGTGTGCAGGTTCTGCATGGCCGGCACGAGGCAGAGCAGCAGCGTGCGGTTGGCCTGCGAGATCACGTCGCGGCCCACGAGGATCCTCGATACGTTGGTCCCGGCCGCCGCGTGGGGCGCGACGCTGTCGCGCACCCACTGCCGAGCGAAGGCGATGCTGTCGGCGATGCGCGGCACGAGGGCGTTCGGGACGGTGACGTCCACGGCGAGGCCCATGCCGGCGAAGGCACGCAGGGCGAGCGGGTCGGCGTTCAGGAGCCTCACGCGGTCGAGGACGGTGCCGCGGGCGAGGAACCGCGCGACGTCGGCCGGCGCCGGGAGGCTCGTCGCTCGCCTGCCGTAGGTGACGCCGATGCCGGCCGCTTCCGCCGCGGCGATCGACGACAGCAGGAGGATCAACATCGGCGCGTGCATCGTCTTCTACTACCGTATGCCGCTTCAGTGCAGCAGCAGTAGTCGAGTGATGTGTGATGAAATCGGGGAGAGATCCTTTTATCAACAAAGAAAGACGAGCAGTGTGTAGTTACAAGTACTGAGGAGTGATTTGCAGTGTGGTTATTTACTTATTTCTGGAGTATGACTTGAGATGGTTGCTAACCGAAGAAGATTCTTTTCTTTGGCTCTGAGCTATACGCATGAACATGTTCTTTCCTTGGCCATAGTTTGTTCTACCTTGCGATGCATGCTAGCTTTGTCCCTTTCTTGACACACACTGCTGGTGGACGCTGACAACTCCAATGGAAGATCCCCACACAGCAACCGTGCCTATGACAATGGAGAGAATCGCAGCAACCGTGCCTATGACCAATGGAGAGAATCACTCGAAAGCAAGATATTATGGAAAGACCATCGGCGTGTCAGTTACATGGTCTTATCCCACAGCTCGAAATGAAGTTGAATTTATCTTCATTTACAGACTATACCTTCCCCTGGCACAAAGTGACTATGGCAAGCCTTCCTCCCCTCCGTCTCTGCAACCGAGCCCGTGAACTCGCATCCCTTCTGCTTGCCGCTTTGACAGCCATTGTCCGGGAGGGAATCCTGGTGCCTCGGCTTCGGCTATTAGATTGATTAGGGTTTTAGTCCTCGCATGATCGACGCTAGCAGATGGCAGCATTTTTTCTTTGAGTCAGTCTTTCAGACTCTAATCCTCCTTCAAGTTCGTTCATTGGGACGGATTAAACAGACCTTCGGCGTAGAGTCCTGCTAGCTCCTCAGGGTGCTGAAGTTAGGTTTTTACTTGTGCATACGCGAAGACGATATTTGGTGTCATATTTCTTTTAGATCAATTCAAGGGTTTAATGGCGATGACTACGGCTTTTTGTGGTGTTGATCCTTGCACGTGCACGAGACTTCAACACCTCGTTGTAATTTTTATAATGTTTGAGATGCTTTGTACTTTCGGTAAACTTTTATAATAGACCAGAGGTCTTTCATGAATAGTGAAAAAAAGGAATACACCACTCTTTTTCTCTACAACGGACGGTTGACTATTGCATATTGAACAATAAATTATGGCGCTTGCGAGGATTCGGAACTAGAAAGGGTTCAGAAATGCACGCTGAGAGCATGTACAGCTGGATCCATCAAATATCACCCCTCAAACGTCTGTGAACACGTTAGGACGCGTCCATAGACAACACCTGGTCACCCCTCAAATGTTTGCATCCACAACCGTATCCCTCATACCAAATCCTCTAATCCATTCAATCCCACACAAGCAAGCACGCACACACGCACACACGTACGTAGTTTTAATAGTTCATCATACATGCCATCGGACTACCGAAAATTGGCATGTTAGAGTTATGGAGAAATTTCACTCACGCCTGCCAGTGTCCTTACCCTTGCCTTTGCCCTCTTTGTCCTCGTAGCGCTTGAAGATGCAATACGGGTCAAGGAAGATTTGCTCGCTCCTGAAGCTGTAGTGGTTGGGTGCGGCACCCTCATCCCCATCCTCCTCATCCAGACAGAGCAGCTCGTAGAGGCCACAGATAGCCTAGCTTTGCTCCAGTGCGAAGGCACACGCGGCCCGTGATTGTCACTTCACCTAAATGCGGGCACGGGCGTGTTCGATAGCCCTGGCCTCCGAACCCTTGTCCGGGCGGGGAAGCACGACTTCGATGGCGTTCCACGCCTTGCTCCTTGCATGGTGGACACACCGGTCCTCAATCGCAGTCTTGCTACCGCACCTTGGGCATTGCATCCGAGGCAGTGGGCAGTGCTTGCGTTTACCTAGGGCTAGGATTTGGACGACACCGCGACGATGACCCACCATGGCGGAGCGCGGGGTAAATTCATTTCCTCCTGGGATCATTGAAGAGCCAAGTGGATGAAGTTTCCGGACTCGAATCCTTTGCCCGCCATGCCGGATATGAGCTATGATTGGATCAGAGGGAGGCAGAGAGGAAGTGGAGTGACAAGACTCGGGGATGGGCCAGGTTATGCTGCATCCGACATGATGGACACGCTAGGCCTTCTAATATCTGCTCTCATAGATATGCGGGGTTTGGAAGATGCCGGACAACCCGGACGTAGGATGGTTTGAAGGGTTTGATTTTGTGACCGGTCAATGATTGGACGAACGAGGTTTTCGGTCGTTCACCCCGGGAAGGCGCGGGATGCTCTGGCAAGTCCAACCGTCAGAAGCCCGACTATGAGGAAAGACTTCAATTGCGTTCAGTCAAGCTACAAACACCTGATCTACTGCAGATCAGAAAATGCAACAGTAGTAAGTTAAAGGAAGAATATTCAAATAGGGGATATGTACATAGCGAGGTAGACCAATGGTGGTCTGATAACGAAGACAGTGTGGCGTACGCCAAATAGGTTCATCTTAGAGCGAAACGGTGGTTCAACAATATCCTAGATACGCAACTGACAAGCACACTGATTATTTCTCAGTACTGAATAGTTACCAAAGGAGCAACAATTGCAACATCCTATACAGCTAAAGAGCTCTCATTTCCTCTGCCTTCCAAAACGAAACACTCATTTGCTTGGTGGTAGTAGTAGCAGCGATGCAAAACTCAGCAGAACACGGCCAGCCTCAGTGGTATCCGATCGGCGCTGGGGTGGCCTTCAGCTGCATACCCTGGTAGTACACGTCCTGCACGGCACATGCAACAGACCAAATCAGCATATACATCATCAGAAGTTCCGAACCAATCCACATAAACAGATGCACATGGGCTGGGCAGGAAATGGGGTCAAGATTGCCTTGCTGATCTTGTGGGATTTGGAAGGATGCGTACCGATGCGAAGTGGTTGACGTCGCGGTGGTGAGCCTCGTCGGCGCGCACCACGGTGACCACGTCCTTGAGGGTGGCGTTGGCAGGGAGGCGCCAGTAGTCGATGGCGATGGCCGGGGCGGGGACGTTGTCGATCTTGCCGTCGTCAAGGTCCTTGAGGAACTCGGTGTAGGAGTGGACGGCTTCCTCCTCGAGGTACCCGACGACGCGGTGCGCGAACTTGGGCGAGATGAGGTAGCCGAAGAAGTAGGCGTTGAAGAAGACGCCCTGGACGGCGATGACGAGGGCGCGCTCGTACCACCTCGGCTGCGCCACCTCCATGAAGGTCATGAGGTGCATGCGCTCGTTCTCGGCCTCCTCCAGCAGCGCGCGGATCCAACCACCGCTCTGCTCAAAGCGCCGGAGCGAGCGCAGGTGGAGGAGCATGCCGCCCACCATCCCCGGCACTGCGGCAACAGTCTCCAGCATCATTGCGCGGCAGCCATACCTCCTCTGCAACCAATTTGAAGGATCGGCTTTAGAACATGATAAACTTCGAAACACAGAGAGGAGATCAAGATGATACAGCTTGTGCAAAAATCATGATAAACAGATGCTTTAATAAAGTACAGTACATGGCAAAACAAATGGAATCCTCTCTGGTGCTTTACAACAATATAAAATATCCTATGTTAAGGTCATGTCAAGGTCACCATGTTATTTGTGTTTTCAATTCGTAATGTTTGCTGACAGTAAATAATCTGTGGATACATCTATCCACTGTCGCCTACTTGTATCCAGATAGAAATAATCAGCACGGAAATGTCAGTACGATTATCCACAGTAATCTGATGCAAAACTGAATATAAAACACCCATCTCCACGAACGATTAGGTAAAAATACTCCGCTTGACCGCTTGGGTCCGCGTTCTAAATAGAAAGTCCAAACGCCGTCTCCCCGGAAAGCAGGGGGGAAACAGAATCAAAAGCGTGATAGGGACCATGCTACTTCCGTCAGTCAGGAGGCCATGACACGCAAAGATGCAGACACCGCCGTTCGTGCTGTCTTCGGCGAAACGGGTTGGACTAAAAAAACACGGAACGAACTATCCGGCGGTTGTGGCGGCCGGCGAGGGGACTAGGGGAGGGGAGGGGGGAGGCGCGCGTACCTGGAAGAAGATGTCGGTGGGGAAGCGCAGGGACTTGACGGTGTAGTAGGCGATCTTGTCGAGCATCGTGTTGGGCACGTGGTGCTTGGTCAGATCGATCGACGTGTCCGCGGTGTACGTCTCCCATGGCTGCGGCAGCGAAAGCAACCAATCAATCACACACGGCGGCGGCGCAACAAGGAAATAAAATAATAGCGCCAATCCATCGCATACACGCTCCGATCTGGCGTCCCGTCGCCGGTGTCGGAATCGAAACGGGAGAAGCAGAGAAGAGCAGAGCAAGCGGAGAGCGTACCCTGAAGCAAGACCACTTCCACTCGGTGCCGTCCTCGCGCACCAGCTTCTTCGACTGCTCGATCCCCCAGTAGCTGCTGATCGCCACCTCCTTCTTCTCCCCGTCGCCCTTGGCCGCCTCCGCCTTGACCGCCTTAGCCGCCTCGTCCTTGACCTGCGAGGCCGCGGAGGTGGACATCATCCGCACCCACGCGCCGTCGCCGCCGGCGAGGGCGGTCCTGGCCGCCGGGGACGTCGGGGTGGTGGCGAAGAGGCGGCTGGCGCCAGCGCCGGCGCGGCGGAGGAGGACCGATCCGGCCATCCGGGAGCTCATCTGGGCGCCGGGAAACGCCTCCGCGAACACCCCAAAACTCCGGGACGGGTCGTGGGCGTGACGTCGACGCGCGCCTTCGCCTGCGTTGGTTGCTGTGGGGGTGGGTGGGGGTGGGGTTGGGGCGTTGCGGTTTGCGAATGGAAGGGTCTTTCCGCGGATGGATTTTATATTGGGAAGGAGGATCGATGGCGGAGGCGGCGAGGGCAGGGGTGGGGCCGCGGCGTCAGTGGCGGGGGAGCCGGCCCTGCCTCCCGGGGATCCCAGGAACTGAGGGGGTCTTTTCTTCTCCTCCAAGTCGATCGATCGCATTAATGGGTCGTTGCGATTTTCTTCCTCCTCTTTTTTTTTTCCTCCCGCGTGGAAACGGCCTGTGACTACTGGCATCCAACGAAAGGCTCACGTGTTTGCAGCTTTGCGACCGGCGTTTTATTAGCCATGTATATAAGCACTCGTTTTAAGTTGATTTAATTTAATTTTGATTTTTTTCTGGGGATATTTTAAAATATTGTTCGTATTTTTTAGGCCAGTGGCTGCTAAGAGATTACTTTACTTTATGTTTGCAAAAGTGAACGTATTCAATTTGTGACAGTGTGCCTCCAATCATGGAGTTTGGTTAGTAGTAGAATATAATATTTGAGACAATGTCCTGTACAATGAACGACAATTTGTTCGAAAAAACAAATGATTTTTTTAAACCGGGAAAAGGATCATCGAAGCCTAGCTGTACAATCAGGTTCTGAAGTAGGAGTAGTTATCGTAGAAGGGGAATATTCTGTTTGGCACCCTTTCACACTAGGCGGGTACGTGCAGTTTATATCTTTGTTACGGTTGGCAAATATCTGGCGGAAAGGAAACAAAGCGAAATGGGAGATGTGTTCCGGCAGATGCCCATCCATCCATCCATCCTAATATTTGCTTGTGGACCAAGAAAGAACCCGTCAAACGGGGCAACTTGCTATTAATAGATCCTTAATCCAACAGCACCGGAACGTGACCAAATACGGACCTCCTGTCCTGCGTGAACTAACTACTGTAGCAGCTAGAAGCATCTGGGATCTTGCTTTGCTTGTAGGACTAGCAATAATCTTTGATGGCCTTGTGCTTGCCACGCTTGTGTTTCTTCTAGGATTGTATCACACTTGTACCATCAATTGGCAATTGGGTGTCTTGGCCCTTGCTTCCTTTCTGTTCTCTCGGTTATTTTCACCGTGGTTACCCATGGCGTCCAATTTGCGTTTCGCAAACGGAAATCCCATAGTACAACTCTGGTTTTTTGTTTGGTCATGAAATTTGATATGCGTGGTTGTGACAATTTGATCACCGGCGCCGCTTCAGGTTTTCATCTCAAACTCAACAATGGCAACAATCACATCACTGCTCTGGTCTCATTTCCAGCGGGCGACCAACCTTGGTGGATCACTGGGATGTACAACCTTCAGGATGACGACGACGAGAAAGGGGCCCTCCTCGGTGACCTTCAGGACGTGCGCGCTTCATGTGCTGGGCCTTGGCTCTTGGGGGTGACTTCAACATGATTACATCTATCGTTGGTAAGAATAACCACTGCCTGAATTGTTGTGCCAGGCATTGCTTATGGCGATTCATCATGGATGAGGAACTTCGTGACCTCTGTCTTCATGAGCGCCGCTATACTTGGTCGAACTTCGTGACCTCTGTCTTCATGGGCGCCGCTATACTTGGTTGAACAAGCGCGATCGTCCCACGCTCGCCCGGAACGATCGTATTCTCTACATATCCTCTTGGGAAACCACTCACATGCATTTGTCTGATGTGTTGTCTCTCCTTGGCGAACATCGGCTGCATCAGATCACTGCGCGCTCTTTGTTGGATGGGTCTGTCTAGGACACATCTAGATGTGACATAACTATGTCACATATATTTGTTGGAGCTTAGATGTGACATCCTTCAAAAACATCTAGATGTGAATTAGACAAACCGTTTGTGGATTGCATGGCTCGTTTCCACTTTGAGCACTTCTGGACGCAGCTTGTGGGCTTCCTAGATGTCATCTTTGAAGCATGGCAATCGGTAACCCCGTACCCCGACCTCTTCCGCCACCTCTATTCGCGTCTTCTGGACACTCCTTGCCAACTCCAGAGCTGGAGCGCCTGCACCATCGGCAATGTCACCCTTCATCTAAAGGCCGCCCGCGAGGTCATCACTCGCTTCGACGGCGCGCGATACCTTCGGCTGCTCTCTCCCTCTGAAATCTGGGAGCTTGCTTGGGAATAGCAAGCATCTTGGTGGCCTTGTGCTTGCCACGCTTGTGTTTCTTCTAAGATCGTATCACAGTTGTACCATCAATTGGATGTGTTTGTTTGTCTCTTCCTTCCTTTTTATTCTCTTGGTTATTTTCACCGTTGTTTGAGTCATTCGACCATGCTGCCCATTTTGTGATTCGCAAAATGAAAAATGCATAGTGGAAATTTTGATTTTTGTTTGGTCATGAAATTTTACAAAATTGTGATTCTTTGATCATCGGCACCGCTTCGAGGTTTTCATCTCAAACTCAACCAATGGCAAACATCACATCATGGCTCTATTCTCATTTCTAGCAGGCCACCACCCTTGGTGGATCACTGGGGTGTACGACCTTCAAGACGACGATGATGAGAAAAGCGCCCTCCTTGGTGACCTTCAGGACGTGTGCGCTTTGCGTGCTGGGCCTTGGCTCTTGGGGGTGACTTCAAGATGATTACATCTATCGATGGTAAGAATAAATCATTGTTTTAGGCATCGCTTCCTGCGATTCATTGTGAATGCAGAACTTCGTGACATCTGTCTTCATGGGCGCCACTATACTAGATCGAACGAGCACGGTCATCCCACGCTTGTCTACAACAATCGCGTTCTCTATGCATCCTTTTGGGATACCACTCACCTGCATTTGTCAGATGTGTTGTCTTTCCTCTATTGCATTGGATCACTGCCCGCCCTTTTTTTGATTGCACGATTCACTTCCACTTTGAGCACTTCTGCCCGGAGCTCGTGGGCTTCCTAGATGTCATCTTCAAAGCATGGCAATCGGTGACCCCGTACTCCGACCTCTTCTAGCACCTCTATTCGCGTCTTCTGGCCACTCCTCGCCAACTCGAGAGCTCGAGCGCCTACATCATCGACAACGTCTCCCTTCACTCCAAAGCTGGAGTGCTTGCACTATTGACAGCGTCGCCCTTCATCTAAAGGCCGCCTGTGAGGTCATCACTCACTTTGACGCTGTGCAAGACCTTCGGTTGCTCTCTGCCTCTAAAGTTCGGCTCCGCCGCAAGCTCAAGGTTATGTACCTTGGTTTGGCATGCCTCGACTGATCCATCGCCTTCCTTCGTTTCGTTTAGCTCAAGAATGGAGAGACTACCTCCGCCTACCGTTATTTGCATGCCTCGCATAGGAAGCAAAAGAACCATATATTTTTCTCTCAAGGTGGGGGATGCTTTCGTCTCCAAACCGGATGACCAGGCTAGGGTTGCATATGACCACCTCACCAACATCCTTGCATCGACTACATGAGTGATTTCGCAATTAATCTGGCCAAGATCCATCCTGGTGCTTTCGATCTTTCCACACTAGGCACCCCCTTTTTCGAGGATGAGATCTGGGCGGTGGTGAAGTCTCTCCCTAGTCCTTACTAGCAAGGCGCCCCGGCCCGATGGATTCTTGGCGGAATTCATTCACAACTGCTAGACCATGATCAAGGCCAATGTATGTGCGTTCTTTGATAAGCTATACACTCTAAAAGGGGTTCCCAGAAGCTTAATGAGGCTTTCATGACTTTGCTGCCCAAGAAGTCGCATCCTTAGTCTCTTCATTATTTCCAGCTGATCAGCTTGATTCACCTCTTTGCCAAGCTTTTCGCAAAAATGCTCTCACTTCACCTCATGCCCTATCTTGGGGCCAGGCTAATCAGAGAGACGTTTATTGTTGAATGTTACATCCATGATAACTTTTTGTTGGTGCAACAGACTGTGTGCCTCCTACACAACCTAAAGTTGTCGTGGGTGGTGCTCAAGCTTGATACTCTGCGTGCTTTTGTTTTGGTTTTGTGGGCCTTCCTCCTTGACACCTTGGTGGACCACGAATTTGTTCATCGCTTGATAGCAATCTCTTGGTCTACTAGACAAAAAAATTGTTTGCTCTACAGGTTTTGGTATGCTGTTGAAGCCGATTTTCTGCACCCCACTCCCCGCAAAAAAATGTTTTTTGTTTACATACTGTTTTTTGTTTTGCTGCTGGAGATGCTCTAGCAACACTAAGCTCCTCAGGGGCGCGAGGTTAGGGTTTCTTGTCATGCGTACGCAATGACGATATTTGGTGTCACGTTCTTCAGATCTATTCAAGGATTCAACGGTGATGATTGTGGTTATGTGACGCTGGTCCATAGGAGCACATGCACAAATACTTCTCGGTGGCACGTTTTGGTGGTGGCAATGGTCGTTCGGTGGTCCATAAACCTCGACGTAATTTTTATTATGTTTGAGGTGTTTTGTACTTCCGATGAATCTTTATAATAGATTTGATCCTTTCTGCAAAAAATAACACTGAGCAGTACTCTTACGTGAACGATAGCAGCGAGAAACATCTAAGATTTTGCTTAGAGTGCTACTCTCTATGTTAAGACCTTTTTGTAGTTTAAGAGTCATACACTACTAGGGAAAAGGCTAGCAGTAGCGCGGGTTCCCACGCTACTAATATGGTGCTACAACTAACATTTAGCAGTAGCACTTTTTGATCCACGCTACTACTATACCTACTTAGTAGTAGCGTTGTCCATACCGGCGCTACTGCTAAGTAGTTTAGCAGCAGCGTTTTCCTGTCCGATGCTAAAGAGCGCTACTACTATATTTTCACCTATCTTTTTTTGCTAGGTATTTACGATGTTTTTCACAGGTTTTATACAGTATTCTAATCATATCATAAACATGCAATATGCTCATCATATCATACACTTCCATAACAGTCTCATCATATCATCCAACACAAAT